AGCGCGCGCGTATGTGAGCTGGAGGAGGGACGGAGAGAGGGAGACACAGAATCTGAAGCAGGCTCCAGGCTCCGAGCTGTCACCACAGAGCCCGACGCGGGGCTTGAACCCGCTTGAATTGTGAGATCATGATCTGAGCTACAGTTGGGCGCCCAACCAATCTGAGCCACCGAGGCGCCCCACTGCTTCTTTATCAGATCGGAGATAACACTAACCCTGCTTACATCCTCCTGTTTCCTAGAGGATACTCAATCTCTAAAATGCCTCTGCTTTTTGACAGCATTCAATCCAGAACTGGTCCCCGCTTCCCTAAATCCTCCACAGAACCATGGAACACAAGCCCCAATGTAAAGAGACTCCTATGAAGACTTCCCCTAGGGTACGTTCTCCTTTACAGCAGCAAGTTAAGTAAACCTAACCTTTTTTTTTTTTTTTTTGATAACAGCTGTGTTCCTGGTGGTCTTTGGTCGGAGGGCCTTGCCAACCTTAGCCAATTTAATTTGCATACATTTTCATTTTTATGTATATGAAGACAAATATGATAAATGTCTCTGTCAAAGTATCAGTAAGTCTGAAAGAGATCTTGAACTATAAGATACAATACAATATGAGAAATTGTGTCAGAATTTGGCAGAGTTTTTTTCTTTTCAATGCTTATTTATTTTGAGGGAAAGACGAGCAGGGGAGGGGCAGAGAGAGGGAGGGAGGGAGGGAGAGAGAATCCCAAGCAGGCTTTTTTTTGCTGTCGGCGGCACAGAGCCTGATGGGGGACTTGAACTCCCCAACCGTGAGATCATGGCCTGACCCGACATCAAGAGTCGGATGCTTAACCGAGTGAGTCACCCAGGCGCCCCTGGCAGAATTTTTTTTTTGTAAGGATACATAAAATAATGTCTTGTTCTGCTAGCACGATATCTTAGATTTAAGGAAACATGGTTTGTTGCAAAAGCAGGACTCAGCTCTGGCTCTGCCTGTCCTGTCCTTGCTCTTTCCATTACAGTTCTGTTCTGCTTCTCTGTGAACTTGAAGTACTGGGTTTTTGTTTTGTTTTGTTTTGTTTTAATGTTTATTTATTTTTGAGAAAGGGACAGAAGCAGAGACAAAGCGGGGGAGGGGCAGAGAGAGAGGGAGCCACAGGATCTGAAGCAGGCTCCAGGCTCCTAGCTGTCAGCACAGAGCCCGATGCGGGTCTCCAACCCATGAACCGTGAGATCATGACCCGAGCCAACGTCAGATGCTTCGCTGATTGAGCCACCCAAGCGCTCACTTATTAAATGAACAAAAGGGTAGATATTATTAGCTCCGATATATACATGAAGAAATCAAATCTGAGAGAACTCAGTCCTTTGAGGTCAAGCAGCTTGCCAGCCACAGAGCAATTCCGTCGCACTGCAAAACCAGGGCTCTTTCCCCCGTCACACCTGCTGCTGAGCCAGCCCTCTCTGCACCGAGCACTTGAGAGGGAGCTCCGGACCATCTTAGGTGGAATTCTCATCCACCGGCTGCATAGTCAGAGCCAAATGAGAGCTTGCGGAATCTCTATTGTGGAGATAGCACCACGCGGAGGAGAGCGGGTAGGCATTTCCTAGATAAGGACATCTGTAACTTGTCTTTGGACTTTGTGAATTTGGCTTTGGAATATGAGATTCCTAAAACAGGAAGGGCAGCCTAGAGATAGGAGAGTTGAGGACGAACTGCCTGTTTCCAGCAATTCGCTGCTCCAGGCCACTCTCCATAATGTCTCCTGGGCCAGAGGCCCAAGCTGGGACGAAGCATTTCCTTTGGGTACAGCTTTTGCTATTGGTGGCGTTTTAAGCCTCCGTGCTGAGTGGGGACAGTGAATGGGGTGCTGCAGGAAATAAAGGAGCTCTAAATGTGGAGAGGGCTGTTGACGACTAAGAAAGCGGGTGCATGTGTGGCTTTGCTCCTAACTTGGCATTTTGTAGTGGCCTTCAGCAAAAGCCGTAATAAATATCCGTCCATGCTCTCCGGCTCAGTAATCCCATTGCCAAGAGTTACCCTGAAGTCATCCAAAAGAAGAAAAATAATGACTCAAGGCAGATACAGCAGCGTTTGCCACTTGAACTACTCAATCTTTAAAACTTAGGACAGTCTTACTCCTGGGTGACATTTTACTCAGTTCTTGCAGGTAGTCAGATGTCCCCTTCCCTTGGCTCTGGACTCAGTTGGGACAGCTCTACTATGAAATGGGCATAAGGGCACGGCACACTGTGATGGTTTGTTTTCATGTCTCAGTCCCTTGTGGGCTGTGGGCTCCTGGAGGGCAGGTCCATTTTCTGTCCCTCTTTCTAGTTCCAGCATGGGCCCAGGGGCTGTGGTAGCACCAGCGTGGAGCCTGTATGTCAGGGCTCTTGTTGCAAAAATGTCAAGTCAAAGTAGCTCAAACAAAATGGATTTGTTGACTCTTGGATTTCAAGGAAGGGCTGAATACCCAATCACGGGAAGAGCAGGGACACGGGCAGGCTCTGGGGATAACTGGACCCAGGAAATGAACGCCACTAGGACATTCTTTTCACCTCTGGCCTCTGCCTCTTTCTGTGTATCAGCTTTATTTTCTCCTTATAGATAGGCTTTTCCCAAATAGCAGGTGATATGGTCGCTATTTCCATAGACAAGCTTGTAACTCTATGTTTCAAACCTCCTTTCCCCTCCACTGGCCACATGTGCTTCTGTGCTGGCCTCTGTAGGACACACTCATATCACCAAATGACTTCTGGCCCTGTACTTTGGTGCCAGTAAATGAGCTCAATGAGCTTAGTGGGCAAGAGAATTTCTGGAAGCCATTCCTACTGAGGACAGCTATCAATAACTATACGGGGCAGTGGCTGTGAACTATGTAAATCTATAGCAGTAAACCACCTCTCCCGAACTGCTGAAACATTACTGAACTCATCGGTTGGAAAATGCCAACAACTGGGCCATCTCCGCTTGATCTGAGGGGAAGAATGGGAGAAAAGAAGGCAAAAACAAAAAAATAAGCAAAACCCTCAGCCAATCAATGCAACAAGAATTTGGGGGATGAATGAATACAATAGTAAAATACTAGAAATAACCACAATGTCTAACAACAGGAACCGGCTAACAAATGATGGTGTGTTAGCACCAAAAAGAGTAGATAATCCAGATTGTAACAACCTGGAAAAGCATTTTTGAAATAACGATAAGTGTGCAAACCAACAAACACGTGGGCTGTGATTATGTGGAAGCAAAAAATGGAATAACATCGATACAGATCAAAAGTAAACCTGAAGGGGGGGTACCTGGGTGCCTCAGCTGGTTGAGCGTCCAATTCTTGATTTCAGCTCAGGTCATGATCAGGGTCGTGGGATCAAGCCCCGTGTCGGGCTCTGTATTGAGTGTGGAGCCTGCTTCAGATTCTCTCTGTCTCTCTTTGCCCCTCTTCCCCACTCGAGTTCTCTCTTTCTCACTCTAAAAAAAAATAAAATAAACATGAGAAACAGAAATAAATGTGTTGTGATAACAGAATGATTGATGAAAACGTTCATTAACACATGCAAAATGTTGTGAGTACTCTACGATTCACACAAACATTAGAATAATCTATTTTTTAGGGGCGCCTGGGTGACTCGGTTGAATGTCCGACTTTGGCTCAGGTCATGATCTCTTGGTCCGTGAGTTCGAGCCCCGCAT